TGGAATAAACTGTCCTCATGGCAGCTGGGAGGCAGGGAGAGAAGGAAATGGGCATGAGCTCCAAGATCCCCCTCAAGGGCTCTAGAAAGATTTAACTTCCTCTCCTGTCTATTACAGGTCCCATAATCTTCCAGTGGTGCCACAGGCTAGCAGCCAGACTTCCAACACGTGGGCCTTTGGGAGGATGCTTCCGATATAAACTACAGATGTAGGTTCAGAAAATGTTTTCTACTGAGTTAAAGAAATCGTCAGATTTAGGGGCTTGGGGAGTCACTGTTGACAGTGAGTCACCAGAAATGACTGCGTGGAGGTTGACTTTTCATTTCCTAAAAAAACTGGACATTAGCAGAAAGTACATGTTATTTTTCCACTGAGCTCCAGGAAGAAAAAGCCAGTTTTGCCAAAAGATGTTAGAATTGTTATAAGGTAATAAGAATTGCATGATTCACATTCCCTTTATGTCTGTGCTTTCAGAAGGCAAAGGGAATGCACAATTAGTTGGACTCTGTATCTTATTTCAGATCCTAGTCCTAGAAAACCACCTTCTGATGTATTCTATATGTTGTTACATTTTCATGTATTATTTATCTGCTCCATTTGTGTATGTTCAGTCTTCTCAGGCCCGTGTGGAATGAAGTATGGGTTAATGTGATAAGCACTTCACTGTTGCGTAGGTTGGTGGGTAGATGGATTTATGAAGCACACGGTTATATTATTAATTTCTCCTGAGAAATATAATCACCAAGTAGACTGAGAAATTTTTTCATCTGCTTAGTGCATTTGCTTAACATATGAAATCATACTTAGGAAAAAAGCATTCCAGGGACTAAAGAGATGGCTTGACGCCTTAAAAATATAGTGCACTTGTAGATGGTCCGAGTGCAATCCCCAGCTCCCATGTGGGCAGCTCACAAACCCTTGCAATTCCAGCCCCAGGGCATCCGATGTCCTTTCTGGGCCTACAGAGGTACCCACACACATTCACACAGACACACTCATACACATACATACAAAAAATAATAAAAATTAAAAATAATATTATAATGTTATCACAGCCCCCAAACCTTTAGAAGTTCCACTTTCTCTTTGAACCTACATGGGCATTCCTTAGCTGGGTATCTACAAGGTTCCAAGTGAACATTCTAGTTTGTTTGTCTTTGGTGCCCAATATTAGCTCTTTGCCTTAGCCAAATTGAAAAGCCAGCTGTTCTCTGAGCACACCCCACTTCCCAAATTCATCATTTAGAAATACTGTTTTCTGTGCTTTCCCCACCATAGAATGCTATTTGTGCCCAGCCATCCATCCCAGAAGCAATTTAGAAGTAACAACAGATATTCATATTAACTTAGTTAACTCTATACAACTCTATATAGATAAATATTAGTGATCCCATCTCACAGATGAGAAAAACAAGCACAAACAGGTAAATAACCTTTGCAAACATAAACAGCTCATGAGAGATGGAGCTGAGATAAAACTCAGCTAGCCTGGCCCTAACATCATGCTCTAGCCAGCGACTGTAAAGAATTTCCTGGCTCTCGGCCCTTATGATGGAATGTAAGCATCCCATCCTCACAAGCCTCTGATACTGATGTCTGCATCTCTTATCTTGTTGCACAGGAGTTGATATGTCTCTGCGTTTGTAGTAGGTAAGATCTCCAGCACAGAAGCCAGAGACCGAATGCCAGCTCAGCCACTTATCACATATGTGGCTTTAGATAAGTTACTTAACCTCCTAAATCCCTCAACCAGAGTGTCTTAGTCAGTGTTATTGCTGTGAAGAGACCCCATGACCATGGCTACTCTTATAAAGGAAAGCATTTAATGGGGGATGGTTTGCAGTTTCAGAGGTTTAGTCTGTTACCATCATGGCAGGAAGCATGGTAACACTTAGGCAGGCATGATGCTGGAGAAGGAGCTGTGAGTTCTGCATCTGGATCCACAGGCAGCAGAAGACAGAGTCACTGGGGCCTGGCTTTAGCGTTTAAAACCTCAAAGCCCACCCCCAGGACACCCTTCCTGCAACAAGGCCACTAATAACCATGGCGGTTTGAATAGGCATGGCTCCCATAGGTTCATATATGTGGATGCTTGGTCACTAAGGAGTGGTGCTACTTGACAGGGATCAAGTGGTTTGACCTTGTTGGAGTAGGTGCGGCCTTCACATCATAGGGCACGGAGACTGAGTGAATCTGTAATAATTGCTTACTGGCGTTCTTGTTTGACATTCTAACAAGTATCCAAGCCATTCTTGCACTCAGTGGGAGCAGTGGTACTAAATTTTGGTCTATGGTATATACCAGAAATTCTGTCACCCACTGCTGGACTTGATCCTCAAAACTCCCCACAATATATAGACTCTGCATTTTCTCCTTTTATGCATTCTTTCAGGGTACAAGAAAAGATACTACAGCTCTAGAAGATAGATGTGCACTAGACAAAAGGAGTCAGGGTCCCTGAATGGCAAGTGATTCCCCACACCCCCTCCACTGCCACGAGACTGGAAAATGACTATAAACTAAGACTTATTGAACTCAGCTGCTGAAAACTGGGGGCTGTAAGGTAGTCTTCTTATGCCTTTTTGATGTCACTGAAAAAATCCCATAAAACCAGTATCATTAGGTTCTCTATAATCCCAGAATCCAGATTCTGTTTTTTAAAAGCTTTATTACATTTTATATATTTGTTTTGGTGAGTGAAGGTTGAAGGTATGCATACCACAGCTCCTGTGCGGTGGTCAGATCACAACTTATGAGAGTTGGTTCTCTCCTTCCACCATGTGGGACCTGGGGTCAAATGCGGGCTGTCAGCCTTTGTGGCAAGTGCCTTAACCCACTGAGCTGTCTTGCTCTCTCAATATTCTGCTTTTCTATCAGCTCATGAGTATGCTGGTTATAATAACTCCTTCAAACCTTTGGTCCTTTAGCCATCTAGCCTTTTACTTGTTCTCAGGAGAATACTCTGCTTCCTATAACACAGACAAAATAGAAGCCATGGGATGGTCCACTCTCAACCTTCTACTGTCCATGTAGCTAGCTGAGAGCCACGTCCACTCTCCTCTTCCCTTCCTTTGGAAGAGAAGAGGCTCTTCTCCCTAGTCTCTGGTCTGTTATGCTCAGAGCCATAAGTAATTCCGGTCCCTTTTCTATCTTCAACCTTTGAATCAGCATTCTAACAAGCTCTAACCATTCCCATCTTAAAGATAACCAAGACAACAGCTTTCTCTGGAACACACTATGGTCTCCACTTCTCAGCTAGGATCTTCCCCCACCCACATCCAGGGTCTAAAGAGTGTTCTGCAGCCTCTTGGCCACCTCATCTTCCACTTACTATGCCACTTAAGTAAATCTAATTTCCATCCATGTCACTCTATCCAAGGACTCCGCTAGTACCATTCAAAACATCCCCGTCAGTCATCAGCTGTCTAATGTTATACTCCACACAAGTCATCCCTTGTTCTTTCTGGACCTGTCTTCTTCCTGTCTTGTACACTACCTCGACTTGGAGGGCTTGTCCCTCTCTTCAGTGTCCTGTTCTGATATCCCTCTTACCTGTTATCCTCTTCTCAAATGACCCCACCTACCCCATAGACTCAGTTACCATCTCTATCCTCATGACTGTCAACAGAACACTTTGAGTCCTCAGCACCTGCCCACTAGCTTCCAGATTCAGGCATCAAGCTGTCTCCTCCGAAGCCCCAAAGAAATCTTAAGCTCACCCAATAAAAATTAACCCAACAATATTATGTCTTGAATTTTACTCTCCCCCAAAAGTTATGCTGAATTCTTAAGCCCCTGTAATCAAGGGGGTAGAGTGAAGCCTTGACTGGGGACAGAGTCTTCACAAAGTAATCAGGCTAAAACATAAATGAGTGAAGGTTCTCTTCCTATATGATTGACGTCCTTAGAAAAAGGGGGATTTCACCAGGCACGGTGGCTTACACCTGTAGATACTTGAGAGGCTGAAAGCATGAAGTGTGCTGTAAGTTTGCAGCCAGACTGTGCTTTAGAATGAGACCCTATTTCAAAAAAATATCAAAAAGGTGGGGCAGCAGGGATGACAGGGAAGACCGGATACAGAAGACTCTAAGATGAACAGCAGTATAAATGATAATGAAATAAATTATTCTGATAGTCTACAAGATAAAGCCAATGGCTGATGTTTCCAATGTACATGTTCATGGTTAAATAAACTTCACTCCTTAAAGAAAGATTGTTAGCTTACTATCCTAAAATTCATATTAACTCTTTCTGGCTTATCTTTACTTCCATCAGGTATGTATGAATTAATAAGTATCTTTTTGTAAGGCTTGGAATTTCATGCATACATGGCTAGATATGTTCTTCCCATCAGAGTATTTGTAAAGCAAATGTGTATCATTCCGTGGTCTTACTGTTTCATGTACAGCAGTCTGCTATGTGAGCAGGTTAAAATGTATGTCTTCTTCATCCATTGGGCACTGTGGTGGTTTGCAGTATTTGAGTTTCACAACTAACACTGCTATGGATGTTTTTCTCCTGGCGCACACAGGAGAAAACTTGTGCCAGTGCTAGGTGTATGTCAAGGACATAGCTAAGGGTAGACTCACTGTGCCATATGATGTCTATTAACTAGTCTCACTGATTCCAACATCTTAAAATCTGACAATGTCTTGGCGAGCTAGTGAAGCAACTGTAACTCCTTCGTAGTTCCACTAGGGGTATAAAATGGCACAACCATCCCAAACAGTGGTGCCCAGCAACAGATGGCATTTGTTAAAGCTGAAGGGACATATGAAAATGTGATGTCCCAACAAAATAGGACCATTTGTGAGCAGTCTGTGAGAGGCCCACTCCTCCCTGTGGGTCATACACTGGATGGTGGCCTTTGGGGTCATAGAGAGGCCCTTAGGTCAGAAGAGCCTCCTAGTTGGGAAAAACTTACTTCAGTAAGCTGCCTTGCCCTAACATTGGGAACAAGGTGTTCTCATTGCCCCTCTGCTCCTTCTTCCTGCACACAGGCCCAGTCACACCACAGCTCAGTAACACCAACCGGCCCTGACCCCTCCCCACAAAGCAATCAGCTGGCTTGAGAACGATGGTATGTATGTGATTAGAATATAAAGTGTTTCACATTTTACTCTGACTAGACAGATGTTGTGTTGCAAACATCCCAACACTGGCTTTTCCTTTCAACTTCTAAAGCAATCAGCTGGCTTGAGAACGATGGTATGTGTGTGATTAGAATATAAAGTGTTTCACATTTTACTCTGACTAAACAGATGTTGTGTTGCAAACATCCCAACACTGGCTTTTCCTTTCAACTTCCTTATGGCATTTTCAGTAAACAGAAGTTGTTAATTATGGCAGAGATCAATGCACAAAATGTTATCAGTAACTTCTGTTGTTACTTGTAATATGGGGACCGTTTAAGGTGTCCTTTATTACCTAGGGAAAATAGACCATATTCTAGATTTCTTCTGTTTTTGTTTATCACATTTTGAAACAGCATTACTGGTATATATAAAATTCATACATGTAAATTTACAGCTTTTGAATATTTAAGTATATATTCTCAAAGTTCTATCACAATCTAATTAGAGAACACTTGTGGCATCTAAGTATAAACTATGGCTTGTTAGTCTCTCCTTGCTCTTTGTTCACACTGAAGTCTGAGTGACATGAATCTACTTTCCAACTCTGTAGCTTCGCCTGTTCCAAGTGTTTCATATGAATGAATCATACAGTGTGTGGTCAGTTGTGACTGCATTGTGGGGGGCACATCTTTTTATGCCATCTGACACCCTACTGTGTAGAGTATGGCTTCTCGTTTATCCTTTCATCAATCATGGACATGGGCTTTCTACTTTTTTCTGGCTATTTTGAGTACTGCTGTTATAAATGCTCACATACAAGCTTTGTGAAGACTTACATTCCTGTTTTCTTGGATGCACACACAGGGGTAGAGACACAGGTCAATGGTAACTCCATGCTTGCCTTTGTGAGCCTGTATCAGCCTACTCTGTCTGCAGATACACTGTGTTCAATCTCACCAGCAATGAATGAGGCCTCTGATTCCTCTAATTTTTTTTTATTACAATAATTCTAATGGCTAAGGAGTTGTATTTTGTTGTGATTTTAATGTGAATTTCTCTAAAGGTCAAATTTTGTTGAGTATTTTTTCATGTAGCATTTGCTTGTTTGTTTATTTAGACAGGGCCCTGTATAAGCCACACTACCTCTGCCTTGCTATGCAGCTGAAGCTGACCTTGAATTTGATCCTCCTGCCTCCACCTTCCAAATACTGCTATTACAAGCAGGGTACACTGCGCCCCACTGCCATCCCCAGCTCTTAGAGAACATTTGCATATGTCCTTTTGAAATTCTTTGCCCATTTTTAAAAACGTGTTGTATTTTAATAATTGTATTAAGAATTCTTTAAATGTTATGAATGTACAACCCCAAAACCCCTTAGTTTCTTAGTCCATTTTTGAATGTAGGTGCATAGTCTAAGCAAGTTTTTCAAGCATACCTTCTAGTTTAGCACTTTTCTCTTCAGCTATATCTTAATATGCTATTCAAGAAATCTAAAAATATGACCTTATATAAAATGATTTAAATGAGGCCATTTCATACTAAAGATATGGTAACTACAATTTAAAATTTATATAAATGTCTTACATTTAGATACACGTTTCTCAAAACTACTTGAGTAGTACTTCTAAAATCTGTGCCTCTGCTGTATATAAGTGATACCAGCACTTGTGCAGAAAGATTAAAATCTGAGCCTTCCCAGCCAGCATAGTCAGCCATGGCTATGACTGGTATCAGAAGATAGAGGTGACAGGATTATGAGATTAAAATCATCTTGGGCTACATAGTGAGACTCTGTCTCAAAACACAAACAAAAAAAAAATCATCAAGTTATTTTAAGACTTGGATTTTTGGTCCTATTCAGAATCTGTTCCAAAGACCTGATCAGTGGAGGGTATAATAATAACTAAACTGGAGGGTAAAGCGGAGGTTGCAATAAGCTCAAGCAAAGGGAAAACAGTAATTCAATAAACATTCACTTAAGGATCGTTTCCTGATTTAGTAAGGCTGATCTTCACATGAGTCTTTGAGAAACCAGTGTCACTATTTTGTAGAACAACTTTGTGGCATTCTCAGTTTACATGGGTCTTGCCTGTGACTGGTGACCTACATGGCTGTTTGGTCTGGCTGTCTTTGTTTCTGCAATGGAGAGAGAGCTTGCAGGCACCAAGGACTGCGAAGCATCACTGTTGTTACCAAGGAAACTTAGATGATCTTCCTTTGAGGAATACATTTGAGAGCTGGGTTTTCTCTGGCCTAAAGGGATATTTTAGCACAGAACCCACGAGAATGAATTTCAGTTCTAGAGTTTCAGGGAGGAAAAAGTGTTGAGAGATAAGTGTGCCATCACTGGTCTAACTCTTCTCCGAGCGCTACCCTACAAATACGGCCCCAGGAGTGCACACTTGGTGTGCAAGCTCTCTTCACAGTCCCTGTTAGCTTCCTGGGGGATGGGAGGGTGGTGAAGAGACTTTATTCCAAAAAACATGTTTTACACATCTGAAATGCAATTGTGATGCAATTTTCACAGAGATGCTTTTACAGTTTTAAAGCCAAATCCTTGTTAAAACCTCAGTCTGCTCTCCCGGATGAGGGGCTTCCCATTTAACACCATTTCCTGCTTATGTGTCCCTCTAGTTGTGGTCACAGGCTCAAAATCACTTTCCTAAGGAAAAGTAATTATAAAACATATAATAATATGACAATTCAGGGAAATTTTCTAGGCAGTGATCAAAAACAGAGCAAACAGAGAACAAGACTCTGTATGTACCGGTTCAAGATGAGATCGTTTAACACACGCGACCCAGACGAAAATGAAAAAAGGAAGCACACAGGATGAAATATTTAATCCAATTTTCCCAGAGCAGTAAACTGTTTATACAACTATTTATTCCTTCATAGAGGGTTTTAAATTTTGCCCCAAAGTCATATGAAGCCAGCAGAGCTTCCCCACAATTTTCAAATGAAGAGTGACTTTCCTGATGAACTAATGAGGTTTTTTAGTACAAGTTCTGATGATGAACTTTTGGAGGGAACAATGTATTCTGCCATGAAAGACAAACACCAATGCTGCTAGGATATTATGCATAGTTTTATTCCTCATTGCAAAATTAAATATAGGCAATAGTACTGCCAAGTTTATAATACTTTTTTAGATACTAACCTATAGTGTTTGAAAGAAAACACTGAACTATTATGTATTATTTTATCAAGTGGGGACACTGGATTTTTCTAAATTTATTTTATGTACATTGGTGTTTAGCCTGCATGTATATGTCTGTGTGAGGGTGTCAGATCCCCTGAAACTAGTGACAGACAGGTGTCAGCTGCCATTTGGGTGCTGGGAATTGAACCCGGGTCCTCTGGAAGAGCAGTCAGTGCTCCTAACCTCTGAGCCATCTCTCCAGCCCAAGCCCCTGGATGTTATGTGACATAGAAACATTGCCACACATTCCTGGTGGCTGTTCTTTCAGTTGCATGGGACCTCTGATCTGATAAGTATGAAGTGTTTATGAACATGGGTACTGTCCACTCCCAAGGGAGAAATGCTTGATAATGCTTATTCCTCTCATTGAAATCCTATGATGCTAAAGAAGAGACATTTCCATTGCTTGTACGTTCTTCTGTGAACCGTGACATGGCCCAGGAGTCACTGCGTCATTGCTAACAGAGATGGACATTCAGGAAGGGGGTGTTACAATGATCAAAGAATTTGCTACTGAATATTTGACCCCAGCGTTCCTTCATTCACAGAGCATTACCACTCATCATCGACTCTGCTGGTCTTGACTTAGGGTTAAATGGGAACAGTGGGAATTACAAACGTGATCAGATTATATGGGCTAATGACAACACTGTGTTGCATGTGTATTAATCAGTAATCTGTCACTTTAACAAATACATGGGGGTGGGGAATCACCTTAAGAGAAAGATTTAGTTCAATTTCAGAAGCTATAGTCCATCATCACTCTGCACAGGTGTCTGTGGACTGTCGTGAGACAGAGCATCGTGGGTGGGTGGAGAAGAGGGGCTTGGCAGAGGAAGCTGCTCACCTCATGGTGGGAGGAAAGCAAAGAATAAAGGCGATGAGTGTCAGGCTCACTACATCTCCTTCATGGGCATGTTCCCAAAGGCACAGCTTCCCACGGCTTCCCAATAACACCAAGACTTCAACATCAACAACTGGGCCTGGAGGTTCATTTAAGATCCAAGCCACAGTGGCGTGATACAGGATGGGAGAGTGAGAAGGAGCTAATATATTCATAGGAAAAATACCCATAGGAAACACATACAGAAATGTAATTTTATTCAAATATATTCCCGTGAGCTATATAGGGAAGCATTTCTGCTTTTATATAACACTATGTATGTGGGTGCCCGGAAGGGTTGAGAGGACTCATGAGTGACTGATCAAGAACACTTTTGAGAGTGAGAAGAGGCACTTGGAATAATTTTAGAAGTATAACAGATGAACTGGGGATGTGTAGTTTCCCTGATATAGGACATAGCTATGGTTTCAAATGAGTTGTTGAAATACTGTATATATTAACAAGAGATCCTGTAGCATTAGGCTATAATTCCTAGACTGAAATTCAAGGATTCTAGATACTGAGGATAATCTGTTAATGGTTCTTAGAAATAAATGGCAGCATGGACACTTGTTGATAGTATGCCTAACTAGTTTTCCAGGGTGGGGCAGGGTTGAGGATTGAACCCATAATCTTGCACCTGCTAGGCAAGCGCCCTAACACTTAGCTACATCCCTAGCTCAGGACTTCGAGAGGATAAGCAATGACATACATAGCTTGGCTGGCAAGCATTGAAATTTTTTCTAACCCTAATTCACCCTATGGGGCTGTAGTTATCAGTCCCAAGGCAGCTGGCTGTGCGCTCTGTGAGATGAACTTGAGATATCCTGTGTCCCCTCTGTGTGACATTGCTTGATTAGCTTCGTGATGACTTTGTCCCATTGTATGATAGCTTGCTGCTGACTCTGTCCAATTCCCCCTGCAAACTGTATATAAGATTCCTACTTCTTAATACCCTTGCTTAGCATAACACAAAGCTTGTGAAAGACCCCTGGCCCTGGCTTTCCTAACTGCTTTATCTTCTCAGCCCCTGGTCCACCCCCTCAGGACCCTGAAGAACAGCCTGCTGGCCTGGATCAGTATCTCATCGACTCTAAGTCTTTATAAGAAGACACTGTAGGTTAGTAAGCAAACACTCCCTTCTAGTGCCTATTTTTCCAGATCCTGTTTTTTGTTGTTTATTTTGTTTTCAATGGAGTCAGATCAAGCTTGTCTGAACTAAGCCAATCAATAGTCTTGTTTCTTCACAAAGTGACAGTTTTATAAAGGCACATGACCCAGTTTTAGCAAATGAGATGACACAGAATGTTCTAGAATGGTAGGATTCTAGGGAAATTTCTTTACCTCATTTAAATAGAAGAGGAAAAAATGGTTCTTTCTTCAGTTTCTATCAAAATAGGATGCCTTTTGACCCTGAGATTAAGAAAGCACTTTCCTTTTCCTCTCTTTTAAACGTTATTCATATTTTAATTAGTAAAAAAAATGGGTTTCATTCTTGCATGTTCATGCACATATCAATTGTCATGCTTTGCTTACAGTCAGTCCTCTACTGCTGTGCCTCAGCCCTCTTCCTCCTCTTGCTCGCTCCCTTCTGCCCCACAAATAGTTCCCCTTTTGTTTCCATGCTGTGTGTGTATAGATATGTTTATACATATCTGTGTGCACATAGATTATATATATGCACATAGATATGTGTATACATGTACCCATAGACATATATATTTAAATATAGATCCAGAGGGAGTTTTGTTGTCTTTGAAATTTTCTGTGGCATGATTTTTGAAGTGAGGATGGCCAAGGACAAAGTAGAGAAGACCCCTGTGCTTGGTCACCCTGGGACCTACTTTGGCAGCTCTTGTTATGTCTACTGGTTTTCTTTGTGGCTTTAATTATTGTGAGCTGTTCTATTGCTCACACTAGGTGAGATCCTGTTGCAGTGGAGATGGCATAGGAATAGAAAAGAAAGTGCTTTTCAACACTGGATCTCTGTAAGTTGTTTTTCCACCTTCTCTTTACAGACTAAAAGAATCAATCACCAGCCTGGAGGCTGGCCTATAGGGACAAGTGGAGTGAAGAAACTAACAGATAGTAACTTACTATTTTCCTGCCTTTGAGTGTGCCATTGACCAACTACAGGAATGGCAGATACCTCTGGCTGGTAAAAGGAGTCACTGAAACACCTATTCTTTCAGCAAGATGTAGAAAAATATTCATGTTAATGCAAAATCAGTTTTATCACAGGACTGGTATGAAAATATCAAAATGGCCCAGGCATGATGCCACACGCCTTTAATCCTAGCACTTGGGAGACAGAGGCAGACAGAACTCTGAGGTCAAGGCCAGCCTGGTCTACAGAGTGAGTTCCAGAACAACCAGGGCTACATGGGGAAACCCTATCTTGAAAAACCAAAAACCAAAAAGAAGAAGAAAAGGAGGATGAAGAAGAAGAAGAAGAAGAAGAAGAAGAAGAAGAAGAAGAAAAGAAAGAAAGAAGGAAGGAAGGAAGGAAGGAAGGAAGGAAGGAAGGAAGGAAGAATATCAAAATGGCTCAGGGCTGGAGAGATGGCTCAGAGGTTAAGAGCACCAACTGCTCTTCCAGAGGTCCTGAGTTCAATTCCCAGCAACCACATGGTGGCTCACAACCATCTGTTATGAGATCTGGTGCCCTCTTCTGGTGTGCAGATATACATGGAAGCAGAATGTTGTATACATAATAAATAAATACAATCTTTTTAAAAAAATGGGTCATTGAGAGCCTTGTTCCCTTTAGCTGGATGTCACGGCTCATTTGTTTGTAGCCTCCTATCTGAAAACAAACCCTACACTCAACATAGACATGAGAAGCTTCCTGATAGACTGGGGTCTGCTGACATGGACTCATGGATTTATTACTGGGTCACAGAGAAGATGCCACAGAAATTAGTTCCTTGCCCCTCACTGTACAGCAGGGACTCCAGCAAAGAAAGTTGCTTGTCTATGCCTGTACCCATCCTTCTTCACACTGTAATTTTCTAAAATGAAAATGTGAGAGAAGGCTGGGAGGTGGGCAGGGCCCTTTTAAAAGAGAGCATAGTGAATGTGCATGGGTGGTGCTCTTAGTGGCAGCAGCTGAGGGCATGTCCAACCCCAAAGGCAGGCCAGTGCAGAGTACTAACAATAAGCTGTTCCTAAACCAATGGGTGTCACCACAAGTATAGAGGCAGGCCAGTGCAGTGTACTAACAATAAGCTGTTCCTAAACCAATGGGTGTCACCACAAGTATAGAGACACTTGAGCAATCACTGGTCTTGAATGGCAATCCTGCTGGTCAGCCAGTGGCTTCCACAGATCCTTTTCTTATGAAGAATCTCTCCCAGAGGAACAATATTCACAGATCTGGGTAGCCCAGGAGGCATGGCATCAGGGTTGGCAGGAGAAAGGTCATACGTAGCATGTTTATAGGGGCCCCTTGAGGGGGCATACCATCTGTTCAGTGTGAAACTCCTGGATTTTAATATCATTCCTTTAAGTCTTAAAAGTTCACTTTATATAAGAGTTTTCTAGATGACCTACAGGGCATATAACTTTAATCCCAGCACTCAGGAAGCAGAGGCAGACAGATCTCTTGGGGGTTTGAGTCCAGCCTAGTCTACATAGCAAGTTCCAAGGCAGTTAGGGGTTATATTGAAAGACCCTTTCTCAATACAACAAAAACAAAAACAGGTTTCTGTTGCCTGATTTTCAAAGTGTACAGTAGTAGAACTCTTTATTTCCAAGTTAAACCTCATCTCAAGTACCAGCACATAAATACAAAGGCATCCTCAGTGGGTGGCACTTTGTGATAACAAGTACTGTTTGGGGAACTTTTGCATGGAACCAACTTTGAAAATCACTGCTAAAATCTGCAGGCCCACGTATGGAAATGCAAAAGCTGTGAAAGAGAAGTCACACTTTCAAGTTTACCTAGTCTGATGGCCTCTTACTAAGGAGGAAGGAGACTGGGGCTCAGAGCAGTACGAGACTCAGTCAGCAGTGCCCGGGCTAAAATTCGAACCTGGTCTGAGACACTGGTTAATAGCTCCTGGGACAGCAGAAGAAGGGTTAATCAGCAGAACTTCCATCCTGAGTCACCCTGTTGCCGATCCTGGCCCCATGCCTGATGGAGGATGTCCTTCTGTATGCTGTGAATATATATGTTTCTCTTATTGGTTGATGAATAAAGCTGTTTTGGACAATGGACAGGCAATGTAGCAGCCTGGAAGTCAAGAGGCCTGGACATCACCATCACCAGTAAGGGAAGGCCACGTGGAGATACATAGATTAACAAAAAGGGTTAATAATCAAGAGAGAGCTAGCCAGTAAGAATCCTGAGCCATTGGCCAAACAATTGTAACTGATATTAAGTCTCAGAGTGGTTATTCCATTAGGTGACTTTAGGACCCGGTGGGTAGAAAATAAAACTGGTCCAGTGGAACCGAGATAGATGGAGAAAATCTCCTTCTACATATGCCCTCAGAGTGTGACCTGCCTGTCACACTCCCTAGAGCTTACACATCTGTCTCTATCTGTTGTCTTCTCCCTACAGAAACAGACCATTTCTTTTCAACAAACCCAAGAGAGCCTGCAGTTCTCCCAGAAAGTGAGGTTGTATGATTGAGTGCCAACAAAGATGGATGCCCAGTGTTTCCTTCACCAGGCACCCTAGAAGTGTGCACCCTGGAATGGCTGGCTGGTGAACTTCTCCCATCATCCTATATCCTTTACCCCTGCTAAGAGCCACCTCCAAGGCACAGCAGAAACTGAGAAGCTAGGTGTACTCTAGCTCTGGGACTTGTGTATATCACGCAATGTGACGCTGATGGCTTTGGTTGTAAGATGAGATAACAATGATGCAAGACACTGTCTACTAGAGGTGGTTGTGCTGGCTAGTTTATGTCACCTTGACACAAGCTAGAGTCATTTGAAAAGAGGAAACCTCATTTGAGAAATGCCCCTATCAAGATCTGACTATAGGGCATTTTCTTCAGTCATTACGGGTAGGGCCCTCCCTGGGCTGTTGTCTTAGGTTCTATAAACAGATTGAGCAAACCAAAATGAGTAAGCCAGTAAGCAGCACCCTCCACAGCCTCTGCATCAGTTCCTGCCCTGACTTCCTTCAGTGATGGACTACAATGTGGAAGTGTAAGCAAAATAAGCCTTTTCCTCCCCAACTTACTTTTGGTCATGGTGTTTTGTCTCGGTAACAGAAGCCCTCACTAGCACCATGGTTTTATGTAGTATGTGTACTTCTTAACACCAGGACTTAAAAAACTGTCCTTTGCATTACACTGGAGGGTTGGGAGGAAAGCACTTGGACTCTGCTGCAATCCACAGCTCAACAAGCAGAGGTAGACTTGGCTACAACAACTTCCAGTTAGATGCTGTGCTCTGCTCCTCCTGACAGAGCTGGCCAAGTCCTGGAATGCTGGCATGCTGACACACCAACTCTACTCGGTAAAACAGCAATCCCTTGGATAATAAAACCATCATGAGAGCCAACTGTGTCCTGTGTTGAGCTGGTCTTGTTCTCAGCCTTCCAACTGGGGCAGGACTCCCTTGCCATATAGACAAAAAGACCTAGACTTCCACATGCCATATCCACCTTCCTGAGAATAGGTAAGTTTATTGTGAAAACCTACTGCTAAGGAAAAAAGGTGTTTTAAACATTTCCTCTATTTCTACTGGGAAAAGATACCATGCAAACAAACCAGAGGATGCTTGGCAGGCCTGACAATAAAGTGTTTCAGTTGGACAGTATTAGAAAGATTATGGCTATAAGAAACGACATTAAAAACCGAGCAAATTGAGTTTGTGAGTAAAATATAATAAGCTTTGGTCGAGTTGAGTAGTGGAGAGGGTGAGGGTAGTGTCTTCAGGTGGTAGACTATTAGGCAGGAAATGTCTTCAGGGATCATGTTGTTTTGCTTCAAACTGTACTTAAAATTGTAGGCAGAGGGATGACTCAGTGGGTAAAGGCACTTACAACCACGTCTAAGGCCTGAGATCAATTCCCGGGGCTCACACAGTAGAAGAAAAGAACTGAGTCCTATGACTTGCCCTCTGGCCTCCATGTTGTGGCTGTAGATACAGGCACATAGCACATATACACAGAATAACCACCAATGAGATACTGCCTCAATTGTAAGCTGAACCAGGTGTATCTTTAATCTTAGAACTTGGGAGGCTAAGGCAGAAGGATTATAAATTTGAAGTCACTCTGGGTTACATAGCAAGATCCTGTCTGAGAGATTTTCTTTTTAATCTAACAAAAGTTACAGACAGGAAAAACAAAACCTGAGAATGCCCTGAAAACATAACCTATGAGCATCTTTGTTTCCTATCCACTGTGCACATGCTCTGCTCTGTTGCTGGCTTTCTGTTCTGGTCAGCGTCTTTCCCCACAAGTGCACCAAAAGAGCCCTGTTTGCATTACTAGAGTGTAGTAAGCTACAACTTAAGTGTGGCATCTGGCCGCTGTTTTTGCTTTTGTTTTCCTGGCATTTCCTTGGGTCTTCTTTGTCCTTTATCCTATAAGGTCCTCTATAGTCAGCCTCTCATTAAAACAGGATGGGGGAGCCCCACTGAGATTGTGACTGGGTTGGTGTGATCTAGGCCAATAATTTAGGGGCATTCCATAGCTTTAAGACAAAAAAACATAGCTGGACAGTGGTGGTGCATGCCTTTAATCCCTGCATGTGGGAGGCAGAGCACTTTTGTTGATATTTAAAATTGTCATTTTTCTCGTGTTCTTAATGCATCTGTTGCTAGTGTATAGGAATGTAATTCTCATGGACTACAGACTCGTTCCCACTTTCCATGTAGAGTACCATAGAGCAAGCCTTATGAGTCATAAGAACGTTATAGGGCAGCTTTCCACATGCTTTTCACTTTCTCTTTTCTTGCCTCTGTGTTTTTTTGTTTTTTTCTGATGCTGGAGATTACATTGAACCAGGGCCTTAAACACCAAGGCAAACACTCTATTACCAAGCTACATCGCTAGCCCTCATCTGGAATTTTATTTATTTATTTATTTATTTATTTATTTATTTATTTATTTATTGGTGCCAGGGGTGGGGGTTGAGACAGGGTTTCTCTGTGGCTTTGGGGGCTGGCCTGGAATTAGCTCTTGTAGACCAGGCTGGTCTCGAACTCACAGAGATCCGCCAGACTCTGCTGATTGAAGGCTCTCATCTAGTACTTTTAACTTAATGTTTGTTTCATTTTCTGTATATGAATGTTCTGCCTCTGTGTGTGTATATACATGCTCTTTGTATGTGTCTATGGATGGTTATGAGCCATTTTGTGGGTGTTGGGAAGTGAATGCAGCAGGTATTCTGCAAAAACAGCAAGTC